ATTACAGTTCAGATATTTTTAGAAGCCTTGTGTGTTATTTAGTTATTGAAATTGGCTTTGACAAGTGAAAAAATCCCAGTAGTGTGTCAGTTACCCCAAAATACACAATCAACTATAGGAATGACTTGTGGCGTGTGTTAGAGTGAGTAAAGCAGTGTAACAGTACTAGCAGTAAATACTTTGAGTCATGTTTCAGTGGCCTTCCAAATATACATATTCAGCTTAAGTTGATGGTAATTCAGAACAAATGGAAAACTTGTCTTAATAGATTTGTGTTTTGCCAGACATGAGGCAGCTATATAATTATTAATTTCAGACAGACTCCCTTAAAATACAGACGTACATAAAGCCGTTATTGTTACATACTTCCAGAGTTTGATTGTACAGTAGTGCTAGTATATATTATGAGCTTTAGCTTATATTGTTCAAATATAAAGTAAGAATTCACATAATAGTGTTTACTGCATCTTGTGTTAAGCAAGCCTCTGTCCCTTCCATAACTGACCTTTGTGAGTACTTCATGATAGATGTGGGAATTAAAGGAAATAACTTTACAGAGCAGTTACATTTCTCTTAGAATTCCTTGGTTTTGTTTTTCCCTCTTCCACCATTTTCTTTCAGTGAGCTTTATTGTTTTTCATGTTTTGTTAGAAGAGAGCAAACTAACACTTTTCTATGACAGTTAAGCTCACAAGGATGAGTATTTTTCACTTATAACATTAATCTCCAAATGCATGTAACCAAAAAATGTTTTGTTTCTTAGGGCATCAAGTTGTCAGCAGAGGTCAAACCATTTGTTCCAAAACATGCGGCGGTAACTGTGGCATGGTCAGAACCCTCAGAAGCATGTGACTTTCCTAGGTACTTAACTACATGCTACCCTTTTGTTCAGGAACCATCTTTCGATAAGTATGTATATTTTCTGAATCTTCTTTCTTGGGGGATTTTAACCTCTTGGTTTTGAATATTGAATACTCTTACAGCATCAAAGCTCTGATACATTAATATTCTAACTATAGAAAAGCTTGGGCGTTGTCTTCATGATTTAGGTTTTTGCATTTATGTTCTTGGGGCTTGTATCTGGTACCTTGTCTCTCACTCCCAAGGGCCTGTATTGTTACAGAGCATTAAGGAGGATTTGTTGGCTTGTTATAATTGATATGACTTGTTTGTGCTTTGCAAGGAGCTGAATCCAGTCCTTGGAGGAAAGAATGGTTGTGTTATGACAAGGCTGGGGTAAATATAGTCATATAAAAGGAAGAGGAAGATCCTTCAAGAAAGTTTTTCATGCTGTAAAACATATAAATAATGTATGGGGCTCCTCCTGAATCTCCTTTCCATGACCCATGCATCCCCAGAAAGGCAGTTTTACCAAGAATGCTACAGGTTTTTTAAAGCTTTTTTCTAACAAAGCCTGGAAAAAAAAAGGCGTTAGCAGTAGACTTATAAAAGTATTGGTAACCCCAGAGCAAGCTAGGAAAAAGCCTACATAGTAGAGTAAGAAATAATTGAGTCTTGTAAGAATCTTGTGATGGTTACATAGTTCTCTAGTTGCTTCTCAGCTTCTCAGAACTCTAAGCATTGGATTAATTTTGCAGTTACTGTGGTTATTGATGCATCCTAAACGAGTTCAGTTAGAGCCTTAGTGAACACATTCATTGTAGGCCTTAATTTTATCCTACAGGAAATCTCAGTATTTTCAAGCCATTTGGATTTGTGATAGGAATTTAACATTGAGGTGAGTTTGGCCTCATCTATGCATTAGGAAAACAACAGCATTAGCATTAAATCAGTTAGCATTTAAAAAAAACCCAATGGACAGCAACAATATTTTGATGAATGTTTTGCCTTGTTAGGACCAAGGCATAGGTTTTTTTTTACTCTTGTTTGTTACTTTTCTTCTGTATGTGTAAACTATGATTGTAAGAGTTGCTTTGACTACAGTCTATCAGAATTGGAACAGGCAGTGAGAAATGTGTTATCTGAAGTCTCTCGTTCTGATGGGGAAGTTTCTCTGTTCTTCATTATCTACCGAAGATTCAGAGGTTGGCCACTTTGTGATGAAGCACTTTAAAAACAAAATGCAGCTTTCTTAAGCTGAGAAACTTATTTTCTCCCTAATCAAATTTGGATCTTAGCATATAGTTTCTTACAACCTGTAGGAAGAAATTGGAAGGGAACTGTTGAGTATACATTGAAGGAAAAAGGCATGCCTCAGACTTGTGTTTTCATAACCTGTGATGGTTTAATGCAGGTCAGTTAGTGATCATCTTATAATTCTGTATTGTATTTCATACATGTGTTACACCCCATAAGATGCTGTACTCCTACTTTGTTATTACAGCATTTTAAGAAAGGTTTTACTCTTTAAAGTTTGTATTTTTGCAGTTAAGTATATAATGCATGTCATGTAGTTACAGTGTGATTGTGGTTTATTTCACAAGAAAAAGCCTACCAAAAGTAAGTATGAAGAATCTTGATAACCTTAAACAGCAATAAGGACTATAACTGCAGAGCAGACTACCTTTGAAACTTGGAATGAGATAACATCTGTGTTTTAACATATTAGTTAAACTGCATGGTTTCCCAAAACAAAATTAGTTATTTTTAAGCAGTCTTATAGCAGTGAGTAAATACTTAATTGAAGCAACATGGAATAGTTTTTCCTTTTTAAATACTGGTTTTTTTCTTGAACATTTTTCAGCCAAAGGATTATATGTTTATCTAGGCAGCAAGTAAATGCTGAAGATTTGCCTCAGCATGACTTCTCATCTCCTTCTCAATGTCCATCACACAGTGTTCTGGGAGATCCTGCCTTCCATGAATACTCCAGTTGCTCTTACTCACCTGATGTTGTTTCAAATGTATATCCAGTAGCTGGCTCAAAACATCATTCTAACAACACAGCATGCTCTAATGGTTCTGGAATAGTCGGTGACTCTGCTGAGCAAACGTATCTAGTCAGACAAGAAAGCAAGAATCTTTCAAAGGTGAGCAAATACACATTTTTTTAAAAAATTAAAATTAAATTATTAATTTAAATCAATTTTGATAAATGATTCATTTTTAAAAGTGAATAATCACACTCTGTTCTTGTAGTGATAATGAATGGCATTTAAAGACGATGGTAGTAATATACCCAACTTCAGTTTTCAGAAAAGTTTGTGGAATTCTACAGTTCAAATTAATACAGTTTTTCAAGCAGTATTTTTGTAACTTGAGGAGAATTTAATTTGTTTTCCTCAGAAAACAGCATCTGGAGAAAAAAAAAAAAAGACCGTTCAATTGTCAACTATGCTTTGCTTTGTTCATGAGGCTTGGGGGAAGGGAGGAAGGGCTTTTTTGAGCCCAGTGGCAGCTTCTATGAACCTGAGTTAAGAGAAGCCTGGTGGCTGTAATCAGCTACGTGGCTGGTAAGTGATGAGACCTTATCTGTCGTTGAAGGATCTCCAAGACCTGCTGCAGGTAAAAAATCTACAAGAGAACAGCAGCTAGTGTTGGTGTGGAGAGGGAACAAAGGTTCACGTTAGAAATGTTCGCTTTGAATCAAAAGTAAACCAGATGTTTAATATGTTTTTTTTTCTTATGTAATTTTTTATGCGTGCTTGTCTGGGGATAAATTTCCTGAAAGTTGGATAACATTTTCAAACAAAAAATAAACTCCTCAAAAGATAACAATCAGGAAAAAAAATCATGTATTATTAACTCGTTTCCCTTTGGAAACGTGTCATTGTGTCTCTTGGACTTTTAAGGGTGGTGGTGTTTCCAACACATTCAAGTAATCTGTTCTCCAGTCATATCCTTTTGGTGCACCTTTCTCCGTAGGCAGAGTCCTGGTAACTTCACAGTGCTCAGGCCTGTGTAGTGGAAGTTGTAAGATCAGGCCCTAAACATCTATTACTGAACATAAGATATAAACTCTAAAGACCTAAAAGTAGTAGTTTTCTTGCTGAGAGAAAAATTAGACATGGAAGCTGTCTGGGGAAATCATTAGCTCAGCATTAGTAAAGGTGATGTAATATGAGGAAGTTTAGGTTAGCTTCTTTGAGGAGTTCAGTGATCTTTGTTGGGCTGAGCTGTGTACTGTTTGACAGTCTTTTTGTCATTGTTCCCTGTAAGTTTTTTTGTGGGCTTGAAGAGAAATTAAATCTTTGCAGCTTTACATTAATTTGATCGCATCTCCTAAAGCTTTAACAGTTTAGCTTTGGAGATCAAGAAGTGCCCTGTCCTTCCACCCAAGCAAATAACGTTGCTGCCAGATGTACTTTGAATTTAGTCCAGCATCCTGTAATCAGAAAGAGTTAAGCCTAGGTCTAGGTTGTCTCAGTTGACAGGGTATACTTTGCATATGATGCAAGCCTAGTGCATGTTCCTTGCCTGCCGTACTGATTCCCGAGTCCGGCTCTGCCGAACTATGTTTCTTGGAAGAATCACAAGGCTTCCAGGACTTTACAATGGAGGTGGATGTGTTTCCTTTACTGGGGTTGTATAGGTGTATCTTTTCTAATTACTTTCTGTCTGCTCCAAACGTTTTGGATGCTTTGACATCAGTCTTGCCTAGTTTTGCCCATAATACATAGTTTATTTAAAGATTGGAATGCTTTTAAGATTTTAGCCCTGTTGTAGAAGAGCCTCAGTTTTAGAAAATCAGACTGGATGATTTAAGACCAAACAATTTTAAACTGTTGAGAGTGCTGTGTTTAATGAGATCTTAAAAGTACAGTTGTCTAGAAACACGGAGTAATCCCTCTTGCTTGGGCTATAATATGTGCTAACAATGGCACACTTGACAATAAAATTGATAAAATTAAATAACAAATATCTAACCGGCTGTTCCTGTTTTTATTGGTTATTTGTGGTTATGGTATGCTAACTATGTTGCATTAACTTGATGGTTAAGCTCCAGATGCAGAGGTAGTTAACTGTAACTCAAGGCACACTTGATGACTTTCTTACAAAGTTCAAGTAAAATCAACAAAATATGTCACAAATACTTGCAGCTGAAGAGATCAAAAGAGGGTGAGAAAAAAGCAGACAAGAAAAGGCATGATGAAGATGACTCTTCTGTGAGAATTGTGAACAGCTCTTCGTTCCAGACCTCCGCATGCAGCAGAGATTCCATGAAGCCAGGTACAAATGTGTTGTTCAATTATAAATACGTCAGATGAACGTGCAATGGTTGACTGTGCTGTAGCTTCCAGTTGGTGACTGTGTTTCTAAATCTGGAATAATTAAGGAACAGGATTTCTTTCCTGTGTGGCTTTCTTACAATAGATGGTGACTTACATCTTTTTGCTGATTGAACAAATTTGTGTAAACTGATATGAAAATTTTCCTACGCAAGTGTCTGAACTTGCATTTGCTTGTTGAGTCGTGTATACACATTGGTTATAATTGCTAGGTTGCTTTTTTAATATGAGCTATGCGTAGCAATAGTTCTCGTGACAATTACTGTAGTTATGTCAACTAGTATACTATAAAACATACCTAGAAATGGTCATAAGCAAGTTTATTTAGACTTTACATGCTTTATTCAGACAGGTTCAATAAAACTACAAACAGGAAGTCAACTCAAACTCCAAAACCAGAGTCTCTTCCTGTACTTGCATTTGACGCTACCATTCTGGATTTCCACAAATCACAGAGTTTGGGAAGCGGTGAGACACTGAATGTACAGCATGAAAGTGGACCAATATGTTCATCGGAAAGTAACATTATGTGCCTTAGTCAACCACAGATGTCTCTCTTGTTGAACACAGAGGTTAGCTGATGCTTTCGTGTTGCAGAGCTCATAGAAATAAAACTTGTCTGAAGTTCAAGAACTTCTCAATGCAAATATTTTGTGTTTAGTGTGGTAATGTAAGACCTGTTTAAGTACCTTGCAAGCAAGGAGTTTCATAGCTAGAGGTGTTATGGTTCTTCTTGTAGATGGTGGTGTCGGTGCTTGCTGTCTCTTTTACGCTTTCTTGTTATGCTTTCCTTGTCTGTGCTGCCAGTAGATAGGGGAAAGACAAGTATTGTTAGAATTTAGATTGGTACTGCTGTGGTCTAGACTTCTAGCTTGCCTGTACAGAGCATGTGTTCCTGAGGTTTCCTAACAACTTCTTGGTTTCTTTCTCACCTGGAAATAATAGGTAAGCAGTCATTTATCCAACAGCTTTAACAGATTAAAAAATTAAAAAGTTTGGAATATTGTACTTACTTGTCTTGTGCTAAAGGACAGAAAAAGAAACTGAATTCCTGAGGGAAGAAAAAAAATATTGTTAAGATGTAAGCATTTAACTTTATTCTTCTTGATTTCCTTCATTATCTCTTTGTTAGTAAATACAATACTGACACATTCAGCAGTATGTCACATATATTGAATCAGAGTTTTCAACAGTGATTAAAGATGAATAATTTTGAAGGATCCAAGCAGCATAATATTACCAGTGCCTCTCAGTGGAAAACTGCCCGTGCAATTAGAAAAAAGACCTTTCTGTTGTCACTTGAGTTTCCTTTTTCACTGTTAGTTTGAGTTTGATGACGGACTTTGTTTTCAATATACTTGGGAGATTAAAACTTCGTCTTGTTCCTTCTTAGAGTCATTGTTTGGATGCTTTTGTAAAATGTAAGAAGGCATCATCTTGCTTGCACAGCAGTGGAGAGGCATTTGCTTATATTTTGTAATGCTGTAGGGTTGAAATGATGGTTCCTCTAACAGAAGCAACACAGAAAATCAAGCTACAAAATTCCCTCCACCTTTTTCCATGACTGGGTTGAGGATTTTTTAACTTACGGGGTTTTTTATGTTTAGCTCTGTTTAGGTCTGTGGTTTTATTCCTACTTTTATGATGTCTGACTGTGTGTTTTACAGGAAGATACTTCTGTGGAAAGCAAAGCTTCATCAAAAACTTTAGATGAAACAGTAGCCAGCTTAATTCCCTCTTCATTTGATGGTAGAGGTAAGTGCTCCAGACAGAAATTATTTTCCTGTATTTTAACTGCTTGCATCTCATCAATTTTGAAAACTAAAGGAGGAGGATCTGTTGATGTGTAAAGTAAAAAAGGAATTAAACAGCAAGCTCATTACAAAAGAAAAAAGCAAATAGAGCTGTATCAGTTTCTTTGAAATTCGATGACCACTTACAGCTCATTCTTGCTTATAGATTTCATCAGCAGGTCAAAACTGGGATTATCTTCCTTCTCTGTTGTTTCATTGGTGCACAAAGGTCAAATACTGCTGTAGTTGCCTCCCATGTTGTTAAGAGGAGAGAAAGTAATGCGTATTGATTATTGTAAGCCTGTTGAGTCATTTCCATATTTTTTTTCAAGAATAAATGAGAGGTAAATATTTGGTCAGTCTTGATAAGGAGGTTTTTTTTTTTTAAATAGCTGGCAGTCTAGAGTCTAGTATGTAGCTAAAAGTCTGTGGCATATGTTATTTCTGTCAAGTCTGTTAAACAAAGGATAGCTGTGGAGAACTATGATGCTAAAATATCCCCTTTTTTGTTTTATATACCTGTTGTCTGGCTGTGGGTGTGCAGAACTTTTTATTTTTTTAATTACCACAAACTATCAAGTGGCTAATTTCAAGTAAGTATTTAAATTTAATTGAAATACTTAAATCTGGAATTGTGTGAGAAAAGATTCTGGTTAGTAGGACTCGGTCTTGGAGGTGTCGCAGGCATTATGCACTGAATTGTCTAAATTCCTCTCACTGGATTTCTGTGTATACACCGACATGCACCAGTCTGGGCAGTTTGGTGCTTGTCTTCCCACTGACTTCAGTAAGGATTTGTAAAGGACAGGTTAGTCTGCTGAAATGACTCAGAAGGTCCTCTAAAGATGAAGTTATTCCAGAAACTTCAGGGTCATCTGGTAATGTTTTTTCTTTAAACACTATCCTCAGTTCCTATCCCCCAGAATAAAGTAGCAGTTTGTGGTGTGTTGACCTTGGCTGGTACCACCCAGATGCTTTCTCACTCCCCCTCCGCAGCAGGACAGGAGGAGAAAAGAAGGTAAAAAAGCGCATGGGTCAAGATAAGGACAGGGCAGACTTGACTTGGTGAATATTAACTTGTTGACAATTAAAAATAGGGTGGGATGGTGAGAAACAAAGACAAAACTGAAAACATTTTCCTCCTGCCCTCTCTTCTTCCCAGGCTCATCTTCATTTCTTCTTTCCTGACTCTTCTACCTCCTCCCTGCCCCGAGTGGCCCAGGGGAATGGGGGTTGCAGTAAGTTCATAACAGCTCCTCTCTGCTGCTCCTTCCTCTGGGGGACTGCAGGGGGACAGCCTATACTGCACCATAGTCAGCTCCAGGGGCTGCAGGGGATTGCTCTGTTACCCGGGGCACCTTCTCTCCCTCCTTCTTCATTGGTTTTTGTGTCTGCAGGGTTGTCTCACATTTTTTTCTTATTCTTCCCTCTCACAACTCCTGCACAGTGTTTTGTACCCTTCCTTAAATGTGTTACTCCAGAGGCGCCACCAGCATTGCTGATGGGCTCAGCTGTGTCTGGTGGTGGGTCTGTTTTGGAGCCACTGGGGCTGGCATGTCCATCTTCTCACAGAGGCCACCTGTGCAGCCTCCTCCCACTACAGACCTTGCCATGTAAACCCATTATGCTATTTAATTGTTCAGTTCTTTAAGAAAAACTTAGATTTTGTTCGGTATTTGCTGTATGTTAGGAATATTTACAAAATTAGTTATATGTCAGTTCTTTCAAAACATTGATACCTCAGTGTTAGTGGGTGAAATTCTTGTACACTGAGGCATATTAAGAAGTCTTTCAGATGGTATATATGTCTGTAAAACTGTGAAGTTTTTAGAAAGTAGAAAATACTGATGAGGCCTTGTACATGAAAGCTGTCTGACTGAGTAGGATAATATTAAAGAAATTTTGTATATAAATGTAGCAGCAGTTCATTATTTTAAAGAAAAATTGCTTAGAAAATGAGCATGGAATTTTTTGTGTGTCATTAGTATGACACAGTATAGATTTACACTAATAATTTAATTGGGCTAAATGTATGTATATAGTACTGGACGATATATGGAGTAGTTACAATTCTAGAAAGCTTTCTGGAGAAATGAAATGTATGAGTGTTTTATTTCAGTCCTTCCTCAGAAAGAATATGGCTCTCTGCTGTATTTGCTAGTCCTTGGTTAATTAATTACTGATCCTTTTTCTTTTGAATATTTGAGAAATGTTTTTGAGACATCTTTGTGTATCACTTTTTTTCCTGATGTCATTTCCTGAAACACCTGCAGATGGCTCTGCTCAGCCACATGTGTCTTGGGCCATGGTGCTTGCACAGCCCCCAAAGAAAATTGCATCATCACCAGCATCTGAAGGTCTTCCCAGAGGCAAAGGGAAGCAGGATAGTGAAGCAAAGGTACTTGAGAATTGTCTGCTCTAAACTAATTTCTGTCACTGTGTGATTGTGTCTCTTTATGTGAAACATTGCCATTTTTTTCTTAGGCTCTGTACAGTATCCACGTCTAGTGTAGCTTTTAAGAAGTGATACAAAGCTATGTTGTCCTTATTAGAATTTCTCTTCTCTTGTAGTGCAAAAGAATAACAAGATGTCAAAAAAACAGTACTACTCCAGCAACATGAACTTCCAAAATAGCTGATTTGAATACATTACTTTTAGGCTGGACTTTTTACCAATTCTTGACCCTCAGAATGAGACATGAAACATGGAACTCTTACCTTATTTGGGTGGATATTTCCTATTGAAATCTCAGTAGTCCCAATACATTCTGATAACTGTGCAATGGGCTTCAAATGAAGAGTTTTTGCAGTAGCTCGGAATTTCTAAGAGATGTTGAATTTTCCTTGTCCACTTAATGTCCTAGCCTGGATTGACTGAGATACCCTGTAGTTGTCTAAGTGTGGTCACTTGCATTTATTTTGACAGGTGTTATTGAAATAAATCAGTTTCTAATGGTCACACCTCATGATTTTTTTCAGCAGTCAGAAACAAAAAATGACGCTAGTGAAACTGAGCCTGAAGAAGGGTTAGAAAAGAAGAAAAAAAGGAAGAAAAAGAAGAAAAAAACAAGGTCACCCAGTGACATAGAGAAACCTCAAAATGAATGTACTAAAATACAGGAACCGCCAAGGATTGAGGTACAATGAAAAGGTTTTGTTGTTGTTCTTTTAAGTGGTATGAGTGTATTGGAAGATCAGATGTTAACACAGCTTTGTACAAATCTAAGTTCAAGTCACATTTGTAGACGATATTGTTTGAGGTTCATTACAGGTGAGATGTTTGGCAGAACTTACTGGTAGGGAACAGTTGTGACTTTTGACTTACCGTGTATGCATTGAGCACAGAGAAGTGCAGAAGCAAATTTGGAATGGTGAATCTGAGAGTCTGGATGTTAACAGGTAACAATAAACATCTGATTTCCTAAATTAAAAATATTCTGTAGTAACTGTTGCAGAGAGCAAAGTGCACAAGGGACAGCAAATGTACTGGGTACCATAGTGTGCCACAATTTTAAAGGATGTGGTACCAGTATTACAATTCTAGCCATCTCACATCTGGAAAGAGTTTCTATAGAACGCAGTTGTCACTACTTACATTCCTGATTGCTAGTGCCAGTTTTTTTTCAAGTTCTTATAGCTATAATATATATAGTAGTATTTTGATACTTTTGTGTATCAGTATCGTGAAGGCTTTAGACTCTCCCACATTAGAGAATTGTTGAATGGGCTGTGGTTTAACAGTGCTTCACTGAAAGCTCAATATTGTACAGCACTATGTGCACGTGTTGGTCTAGTGTACATAATGTTCGGTCTGTGACATGACAGCATAAAGAAGCCTTCCTGGCTGGCTTCTGTTCTGTGAATTTTAACACAGAATGTGGAGGACAACTGTGGCTACACGTTCTTTTTATTGTGTGGCTCATTGTCCTGGAACAGCACAAGAAATGACTGTTTACAGACCTCTTTGTTAGAGAATTATGGGTAGAGTTAAAGATCTGCAGGTTCTTTCCCTCATGAGAACATCCCTGTTTTTTACTGTATGCTACCATACAATGTCTGACCTGTGAATGACTTACCATCTTAAGAAGAAAGATAATGACAAGGGTCATTACCAACAGTAGGAAGGTAATGGGACTGTTGAAGACAAAGAATGGAGAAAAGTGGTATAGAATAATGTAACAGGACATATGCATTGCACTGAAATCTGTAATGTGAATGTGGTATCTGTTGTGGCAGTGGAGGAGAGCTTTCGGACCCTCCTGGTTTGGTTGGAATGCTTGTGTACTCGTCAGTTTGAAAAGTGGGTGAGATGCTTGTGTGATAATCTTGAAATAGAAGAGCATGAGAGGATCATATGCATAGAACTTCTGGGCACTCAGGAGATTTAAGAAGGTTCTGATATGTCCAGGAGTCAGAGTCACTCATTTATAGACACTGTTAATGAACATCAGTGGATGCATTTGGGGAAGAGTAATCGTGTTTTTCTATACACAGTGGCAGCCCCTGAGCTAGGTATTTTCCCTGAAGGGAAAAAAATTGAAGCTGCTGTTAATAATCAGGTCAGTGCTGGTAGCACTGGTCAAACATGCAAAAAGTGCTGGAATTATTAGGAAAATAGAAAAGAAAATTGATTATGACAGTACATAAATCCAGGATGTGTCCAAACTAAATATAGTGTGGATTTTGTTTTCTTGTGTTTCCCTCACTTTTTTAAAAAAATATACATACTTGAACTAAAAAAGATAGACAAAAGGCTCCAAAAATAGTCAAAACTATGAAGCAATTTCTGTGGGAGGTAAAACTGAATAAACTAGGATTTCTCAGTCTTTAAAACAGATGGCTAAGCGGGAATCAGAAGTGACAAGGAAATAAAAAGGAAATTATTACATCTTTCTCCTAATTTTATGTCCTGGTTCTTACACATGATGAGTTAAAAGCAAATATAAGGATGTGTAACGTCACACTGAGTGCTAGATTTTAATTACTCACTTTGCTACAGGAAGTTGCAAATGCCAGAAATTTATTTTAACCCAAGGAATGATTGGATAGGCTGAAATAAAAACTTATTCTCATGAGGGCTGTTTAAATGTGAAGGTACTATCTGATTCAAGAAGACCCTAAGCTCCAAGAGTGTGTTTGTGAAACATTTTTCTCTTCCTTGCAGTCATCTTTTCACATACTTCCAAGCTTCTTTAAAAATAATCCATTGAGTGAGGAGTGTCTGTCCTTACGCATGAGCTTCCTAGCTTGGGCTGTTTAAATGAAGTCTTCTGGGCTGCAGAAGAAGCATTAGTCTGTTCAGTAGGATTGTGTCATAGCTGAAAAGACCTCTCTGAAAGTGGGAGCAGAAGCAATGGAATTGAAAATCAATCTCCTGTATCAGGATCATTATGATTGAGGCCGTGGATATAAGGGGACCAGTGTAGAGCAGCAAGGTCCAGCCTGTCAGCACTAAGGTTAACCAGATTCCGGATTAACTATCGCCTGCTAATAAAATTTACTCTTGTGTCTAAGCCTACATAATCACTCAAGTGATTAATCTTTTTGTTTCCATACTGTACTCAAGAGTTATTACCCTTTTGTCTGCCCTTTTTGTTCTTCACTACTCACAGGGTTAGGGCAGAATTGCACAGCTGGAGACTATACTGGAAGAAGAGTGAAGTTGTTTGCAAGGCTGCTAAATGATCTGAAAAACAGTCCTTTAGGAGCCATTTAGCTCTAATAATTTCTATCAGCTGACAGCAATAACAAGGTGCTGTTGGAAGCATTTTTCTTGTAAGCTCTTTCAGCCCTGAATTATCTACAGGATAGATGACCTAAGCACTTTAGCGCTGATTATAGTTGGGGGCACTGCACTTGATTTCTGAACTTTTGTACAGTGAAACAAACTATGATGGATGTTTGATAAGCATGGAGTAAATAATTTGAATGTAGGAAAATTCAGTTTTGAGAATTTGGACTTGATAGTTCTTGTAAAATCATCTTCTGATTTATTTGTTTAGGATGCTGAGGAGTTTCCTGATCTGGGAGCTGCTTCTGATAGAAACAGCAGACTAGGATCTCAGAAATCATCTGCTGTCAGAAAGCAGTCTGAAGTAAGTAATCTTACAACATTACGTGAATGTGAAGAAAATACACAGGGAAAGACTGAAAGTTTTAAATGAGACTAAAGGTGGAATTCTTCTGACTAAATGAAGGTGCTTATAATGTGAGGCTCTGCCTGTGGCAGTCCCCTTAGGTACTCTGTGGGCAGTGAGGAACTACTCACTGTATTCAGTAGATTCATATAATTTGAAAGGACATACCTTTTGGTCTCTAAACTGCTGCCTAAACTCTGGGCTACTAATTCCGATGTAGATACCTCTGTTGCAGACACTCAAAGTTATTTGACATTAATTCTGTTCATGTAGGTTATTTTCCTACAGGTATTTTTCTGGTTTAATTTTGCATTTCATAAAAATAGTACTAAGACTCTTCCAATTTCTGCCCTTGCTCTTTGTTTATACAATCAAATTGCAAGGGCCTCTGAGTGGTGTAACACTTTGCTCTCAAACTGTGCAAGGTTAAGAATTTGAGTCTAAAATCAAATACAAAGCTAAGCTATTTTTTTTACGTGAGAGAAAGGAATCCCAATGATTAATTTGGAAAGTCATTCAATATGGGAAGGAATCCCAAACATAAATCACAAGGATTGGAAATATGATTGCTCTTGCAAAGTAAATAACATAAATAGTAAAGGTGAAATTCCAGGTTTCTGTTTCTGTGAAACTAGTATTGCTGCTAAAATTTTTTGTCCTTGGTTTTGTTTCACTGTAAATATGAGTGGGTTTTTTTAAAATAAAACCAACAACAAAACACAAATAAAACCAAAACCCTTGTGTGCTTTGTTTGAGGCAGTAAATTGCATTTACAGGGAGGAGTGAGCAGCAAAAGCCACAGTAATTCTTCGAACCAGGTTTGTTATAAAGTGCTAAAGAGACTTGCCCCTCAAATGAGAGAAACCTTTTGGGTTTGTAAGCTAAGTGGGATATAACCTCTCAAAGCTTACATATGTTGTAGAGATGTGTGATCATTAAGCCACTCATACTCCTCCATAACAAGTACTTGAAAATGAAGCTGCTTTGCTGTTTTTCCTTCAAAAGGTGAGAAAAAGAACGAAATAATGAGTCTGATTAAGTAGTATAGCAGACAGTGAATGATCGAACTTTTAGAAGGCCCCAGTAGAGTCTTCCCAGAGTCTTCTCTTCTCCAGGCTGAACAACCCCAGCTCTCTTTGGGTTTTTTCAAGGAGAGGTGCTCCAGCCCTTTGACTATTTTTGTGGGCCTTCTCTGGACTTGCTTCAACAACTCCAGGTCTTTCTTGTGCTGGGGACCCCAGAACTGCACACAGAACTCCAGGTGGGGTCTCACCCCAGCAGAGTAGAGAGGCAGAATCACCTCGCTCAACTTGTTGGCCATGTTTCTTTTGATGCAGTCCAGGACATAGATGGCTTTCTGGGCTGGAAACACACATTGTCAGCTCATGACCAGCTTTTCATCCACCAGTATCCCCAAATCCTTGTCTGCAGGGCTTCTTTCAATCGCATCCACCAGCCTGTATTGATGCTGGGAGTTGCCCCAACCCAGGTGTAGAAACTTGCACTTGGCCTTGTTGAACTTCATGAGGTTCACACAGGCCCACTCCTTAACTCTGTCAAGGTCGCTCTGTGTGGCATCCCTTCCCTGATGCATATCAACTGTACTACTCAGGTTGGTGTCATCTGCAAGCATGCTGAGGGTGTACTCAGTCCCTCTGTGTTCCATTTGAATTTAATATAATCTTCACTTCACCCTTTTCCATGTGTCATTAGATATTTTCTCTTCCTCCTTGTCACCCTTTGTCTTTACATTTCAAAGATCCATCTCCCTGAAGAGCCTTGGAATAGTCAGTCTCCCACACTGGATGGCAGTCCCAAGGTGGATGGACTGTCAAGGAAGCAAGCTTCATCTTCTATAGTAGAAAAAAAGAAAATGCAGGTAAATTAATTCATGTTTGAAAAATAAGTAAGTTTACAACTCAAAATGACAAAAGAAGTTAGCATATTTAAATACAAGAATAAGTCCAAGCTCATTTGTGATTGTATTCATACTTTGTGATTCGTACTTAATAAGTGACAAGACCCTTGTGATTAGAAACACTCAATGGTAGTAATTGCTGGTCCCCAGTTTGTGATGCAGTGTTTAGGGAAAAATACTAGCTTTTCATTAGTGTCTGCGAGTTTCAGATATCAGGAGTTTTTCTTTCACCTGTCTTATTTGTTTGTGGCATAAATCCAGTACAAACTGATTGTCTTAAGGAGCTGGAAACCTCTTAAAAGTGGTTCTGCTAGATTAAGAGAAAGAGGCAAGGAGATCCACTTAGCTTGGGGCAAGAAGAAGAAATACAGAGCAACAGTGAGGTCAATAAGTAGCCCCGTGTTGGTGAGTAGGTTCTGGCATAGCTGCAATGCAAGATGAGATCCTAGGCTTAGAAGGAGCAGGTCACACTCCTTAACCCTATTAACAGAACCTACAGCGAATTGGTCCTCCAGGATAAGACTTCTAGAAGCACAAAATCTGTGAGTCATTTGCTTAGCATGTCCTGCCATCATAGTTTGCCCTTTTGTAGTCTTTGCTAGACTATTCATTTGTAATCTTTTTATATTCTGAATCATGAAATTTGGTGCCACGTGGGGGACACTCCTTTTGCCTTCTTTTCAAAGCTGACAGCTTACTGCTTATGAGAAGGTGGTTCTTAAAGATTATGACCTCTTTTTTTAAGAAGGCATTGAAGATAATGATATATGTGTATTGCAGTCACATACCCTGGAAGATTGACAGAGTAGTTTTTCTTTACTTTTAACAAAATGTTCAATTCTGGTAGGCATTTTTTCTTTTTGAAAGATAGGTGGCAGTCTGACCAAGATGGGAGCCTGACATAAAGCATCTGGCACCAGCTGTATTAAAGACTTTACACTTCTGTGCTTTATTGCAGTAGCTATTCAAAAGTTATTTGAACTGTTTCTGATTTTTTATTTTTCACATTAAAGTTGATGTGTATTTAAAGATCAAAATACTTTAATTGGATCAAGTTAAAAATCAAAAGTATCATGGATGAAGATGTGAAGAGTGTATTACACACCATACAAAATACAGTCTTTAAATTCTGAAATGGAAAGCATTACTAATTGGTACTGAATTTGTTCAGGAAACATCCAGGAGCAGTGGTAAGAAGAGTCAAACTCCTGTGCAACTGGATTTGGGTGGCATGCTGGCAGTCTTGGAGCAGAAGCAGCAGGCACAGAAGTCAAAACAGTCTTCTAAACCTGTGGTGTTTTCAGGTATTGGTTACAATGAAATTTCCTTTCTTTCAGCTTGAGTTGTTTTTAAGGATTCAAACGTTGAATGTAGCCTGATTTCTGATATGTATAATGATCTCTGAATACGCAGGCAGGAGCAAGGTTCACAAGATAGAAAAGAAAATGAAAGTTTATTTTTAAAAAAATTTTGAAAAGTCTGGGTAGTCTGAATTGTTTGGAGGAAGACTTGGGGAATGACAGATCTTCAGGACAATGATTTGTAAAAGAGTACCTTAAATATTACGAGGTATGATTGGTTTTTACTTTGTCTTAAAAACGTGTTACTATTGTGATGTGAATCTACAGGAAGGGGCTACACAGTAACAAAGGCTTTCTTAAGCTCCTCTGATGACAAAAATCCTGGAGCTGTAACTTAAGTGAAAAAGCTCCTTTGCAAACACAGGGGTTACACGAGAGTTGATCAGCCCAACCCAAAGGATGAGTTCGCCATGCTTGATAATTGTGAAACAGTTGCTGTTAACAGAATGCTGGGTTTTGGTGATGAAGAGAATCTTTCAGACCCTGTGGATACATAACCAGGAAGCAGAAACAAGTAACTCAGTGTTACTGTCAAATTTAATGTTGGCTATGTTAGTACAGTTATGTTTTGCAAAAAGAAACATGATGTTTGCTAGAATTCAATGATGATAAAATGTCTCTCCTTATTTCAGTAAAGATTTTTTTTTTCAATCATTTCAGAAGGAGAGCTAATCACAAGAGAATTCATCTCACAATGTTTGATGTGGTAGCTGAGCTTTTAAATAGAAAGCTCAACATACAAAGTATTGATGAGATTTTCCTTCACTAACTGAGAGAATCTGTAAGATGCTCTTTTAAATTCTTTTTCTGCAGTTGATCTCTTTTTTCATTTGAGTCAGTCAAACTCAATGCTGCAGGGGTGCTAATCACTAGTTTTGTTTATGTAAAATTATGCAGTGCATGGATTGGTGAGTAGATGGTGGAACACAAAGGTATGGGTCACAATACCTGTTTTCTAATACTAAATTGCCTGTGTCTGAATCTGCTGCAGAAGAGAAATTGATGCATCATGTTTATATCCTGGAACTATAAGGCATATGTTACCTCGGCTTTATACTTTTTTTTTAACAGTCAGTGCACCCATTGAATTGGTGTGTACCAAAACCTAACTTTAATTTGTGAAATGGCATTGTGCTGATCTCTGTAACCAGAAGAGAAGCACAGTGAACAAGAAGGGCAAGGAGTGCAACTGTAGACAAAGTTATTTAATTTTGCTCAGTGCTTCATTTGGTAAATAATGGATGGATGGAACAGCATAGTAATGCAGTAATTATTTGAATTTAAATGATGTTTTGGAAATGCATCAGTCATGCAAAATGACACAAACTGTAAAAGCCATCAAGTTCAGGAACATGAGAACTATGAATTTGAAATGGGGAGGTGATGTGCACAGTGAAGGAAATATGTGTCTACAGGATGTATACTTACATATTGCTTCAAATCCAGCTTTAATTTTTGTCACCATCTGTGCTAACATACTGTGCCACGTTCTTGGTATTGTTCTCAATTTGCCTATGTTAAACAGCGCCAAAAAAAAAGTTGTGTTACAGCAGTTTTGTAAGTAAAGTGTTTGTGCTAATAGTACTGTAAGTGGTATTGGTGGATCAGCTTATAAATACTTTGGAAGCAGTAAATGAATGTGGTTTAAGACAAGCTACTAGAAGCTTTAGGTGTTTTTTAGGGGAGAGAGGTTGCCTGAGGCACAAAGGTTTCAAGCACATTCCACTGATACTAATGTGGTCTTCTTCATTGACTTGCTAGTGTAATCTGGCTTATGTTGCAGGTAACTGAAGTTTGACAAAGTGCTCTTGCAGGATACAGCAATTCCTAGTAATACAGAGTTGAAAAGGGAGAGTAGTTTTTAGGGGGTGAGGTTATGGTTTGGAAGGTCCAGGTTCAGTGACTTGGCCAGTCATTTAAAGACTTGGTTCTCTAAACCCTCTGAAAAATTGAGAGCTGTGCTGGTTAAGCAAAAGAGACTTAGCTGTAGTTTTGCATTACTCATTGCCCATCTGCCAGTTAACTTCATCCAACTTCATTAAGGTGTAACAAATGGTAGGAGTGCTCCAGATTATTTACAGCAATTAAATCTAAAACCTGTAGTACTGTAACTCAGTATTTGTCTTAACGCAGTACAGAATCTGTGGAGGAGGAAACGCCATTACCATGAAACATTAAGGTGCCTGAAGGTTTACCAAGCTGACATGGCATGGAGTTGAAAGTAGCTTGGAGTGCAGTGTTTTGCCAAATTCTGGTTTTGAGAATTCAGGGACAGAGCTTGTGATTCTAGCTGTATAATAAATCTAGAAGATATGACAGTCTTTTTGAGGGAGTATCTTGATTAAATAGCATTGCTTAATGATGCAGGAGTGCCTATAAATATTCTTAATCGCAACACAACACAAATTTAGTATGTGTGTACTACTCTTAATCCAGTCATTAACCTTGGTTTGGATTCTAGTGTAGGCATTTGTTATAGTTGTCTGATGCAGACTCTTTTTTCTTTATCTCAGTTGGTGGTGCTATACCATTGCTTTCTAAAGAACCTGCTACAACCACAAAAAGTCACCGGTTAAACCAAGGAAAGATGCCTCATAACCCTTTGGATTCCAGCGCTCCTTTGGTAAAGAAAGGGAAACAGAGAGAAGTCCCTAAAGCAAAGAGACCAACACCTCTTAAAAAGGTGCTCATATTTTTACCTTGAATAGTATGATAATTACTCTGTGAGTCTGTTAAACCTTCTGCTGTGGAGATCTGCATCTCAGCATCCACTTGTCCGAATTCAATTTTAGCTTTCTGTGGTTTAATAAAAGGAGGAGAGGAGGAGAAGATGAGAGTCTTGCTAAATAGCATATACAAATTCCCCCAAAATATATTTTCTCACTTAAATCACTTGATAGCTGAAGAACTGCCACTACAAAAGTGTCTACACATTATTGGTACGGGAGACATCCAAAGAAATCTTACTCGGTTTGGACAAGATGTGCTTATTTGCAGGACAGGGGAGAATCGATCAAACAAAGGTAGTATTTAATGTTTCTGTGCACTTCCAAGCCAGAATGTCAGCTGATTGTGCAGCAGCTAGTGTTAGATCTACCTGGCAAGTTCTCTTGTATCTTCTCTCTTGCCCATTCGTATTGCTTCCTATATGTCTTCTATACAGAGTATTTTGAGATACTGCTGCATCACTAGGTCACTTTTTGCTGTAGAAAATTCTTACAGAGCTAGTGAACCTGGTTTAGTGGTCATTCTGTGCTGCTTATATTGAATTTGAGAACTGTACAATATAAGCAACATCTAACAGACTCTAGAGGGTGATACTAATTACTGTGCCTTTTGGCTCTTCTACCTTCATGCCACGTATTTTCCAAAGTAGGCTTGAGTAGGCAATTGTGTTCTGAGTATGGTATGGAGCTTATTTTTGTTCTTTGTTCATCTTTGACAAATGCAAATGGAGAAATTTACTTTTGCAATTAGATTCTGTGGTGTAATTAATTAAAAATTTTGGGCAGATTATAGAATCATAGAATGGTTTGGGTTGAAAAGGACCTTAAAGATCATCGAGTTCCAACCCCCCTGCCATGGGCAGGGACACCCTCCACTAGACCAGGTTGCTCAAAGCCTCATCCAGCCTGGCCTTGAACACCTCCAGGGATGGGGCATCCACAGCTTCTCTGGGCAACCTGTTCCAGTGTCTCACCACCCTCACAGTAAAAAATTTCTTCCTAATATCTGATCTAAATCTGCCTTCTTTCAGCTTATACCCGTTACCCCTTGTCCTCTCACTACACTCCCTGATAGAGAGTGCCTCCCCATCTCTCCTGTAGGCCCCCTTCAGGTACTGGAAGGCTGCTATTATGTATCCTTAGAGCCTTCTTTTCTCCAGGCTGAACAAATCCAATTCTCTCAGCGTGTCCTCATAGGGGAGGTGCTCCAGCCCTCTGACCATTTTCGTGGCTCTTCTCTGGACTCGCTCCAGCAGGTCCAGGTCTTTTTTGTGTTGGGGGCCCCACATCTGAACACAGTACTCCAGTACTCAGATTACCCGAGCTAGTGCTCATACATACAGTAACTGCTTCATAGCAGCTGTGAAGGCAGAGAGGGAGATGAGTTTCAGGAAACTGATTATTGCTTTCACCTGCGGTAGCATGTTTGAATCTAGCATATGTCTTTCCTTCCTTCTATGTACCATATGGCTTAGCTATCCATGGTAATTTCTTCTCTTTTTCTTCAACCAGCAAATTCAGAGACAGTGATCTATTGAACTGACTCAAGATTTTTACCAGGGGAATAAGGGGGAAGAGTAACTCTGTGTGTGTGTGTGTATCTGTATATATATGTACCTGAGTGTTTGCCTGAAGTGATGTTTCATATGAAGAAGAAACATAAAAAGGGAGACTCTTTCACCTGCTTCACTGCAGTGAAGCAAATCGCTGCTTATAGTTGTGTCCCTGTAGTTGATCCCTAATAATTATTTTCCCCATCCAGACATTGGTAATCAAGGAAAAAGTAATTTTCTATGTAGATTTAGGGAATATCTTATTTTATGTGCAAATTATAAAAACCCAAATGTTGTAAACTTTGAATTATAGTGCCAAACTTCTTTATGAATGATCTGTATGTAAGCACTCGGTGAGAGAAACTTTGTTATCTGTGTGACATTGAACTGATTTGATTTGTATGCGTATGTATTTTTTTAGATCATTCTGAAAGAGAGAGAACAACGAAAGCAGCAACACCTATTAGAACAGACAGCAGTACCAAAAAAGGAAGATAATATTTGTCAGTCTGCAGAAAATATTACTGAAGGTGAAGCTCTTCTACAGGATAGTCAAGCAGGTATCTTTCAAGAGAAGGCTATATGTAATACCATGTGTAGATGGAGATTTGAGAGTGAGCACACTTAGTGCTTTCAAAAATGTGTACCAAATACTGCCAAATGAAAGCTGTAACTTCAGAATTTTCTAAGATTCAGCTTGGACTTATCTAGAGTTTGAAATGTTCCAAAGCTGATAGACAATGTAGTTGAGTAATTTGGATTCTCATTACTGTTCAACACTTTTATGCCTGCTGGATTTATTATATGGCATAATGAGAGTCCCTGCATCTCTCTGGCAATCTGTTTAGAAAGAGGTGTAACAATAAAAAAATAAGAAATAAAAAAATTTATGACCTGTTCCCCTACTACCACAGACTGTTCTAATACTGAGGTAATGAATCTTCAAGTGATAACAAGTTAGTCTCTTCACAATGCTCTGTATTTAATTGAAATATATTTATTTACATGATAGCTGTTCCTGTAACACAAGGTGCTGAAGGGTGTCTGGAGAGTACAGGGATCAAGGAAGCTACAGAAGGTTCTATGACTTCAAAGCAGCTAACCCCCAATCTTCCAAAAATCCATAGTAGGAATTTTAGAGAGTAAGTATTGATTGTACTGATGTCTGATTTTTCCACAGTACCACTAATATGGCATTTTGCAAACAAGATACTTGCATTCTGTGCAGCACTAATTGGAGTTTAGACTGAAGGTTGTAAATTTTTTTGGTTTTTCTGTAAGCTGACACACAACAAAAGAAATTGCATCCAGATAAATAGTCTGTCCATTGTTGTAATTGTCACTTCAAAATGCATGTTCCTTCAAGGGGAAAAAGAAGATCAGGAATTCATGATCAGAGGCTAAGGAAGGAAAAGGAACTGCTGTTAAAGTGCCATTTATTTTAAATAAATGGAGTACCAGTTTAATATTTAAGAAAACAAATAGTACACTTATTTTTACTGTTTACTGTAGTTTTCTGCTGCTACACCAAGTGACAAAAATGTAAAGAATGCGACCAAACAGGTGACATTTTCATGTTGTGGCTAAGCATAGAAATAAAGGGAAGATTTATGGGGTATTATGTGAAAACACTTTTAGTTTTGTTTAAACAGCATATACATCTTTCTTTATAAAAGAAGAACTAGTCATTACTATATGTGAAGAGATCAGAGATCCAGTCATGACAGTTTAAAATAGTGACTTCAGGTAAGCGATGCTTTAACTTTTAGGTTTCCTCCCATAAAGGCACCACTAGCCTTCCTGCAGTTCATGTTATAGTAAAGATTAATATTGATACGGCTGTTCCTTATCTTCCTTATGCCATGCACTAGCTCTAATTTAACTTATAATTGCATTAGAAATTACTTAATTAATGTCTATGCAACACTGTTTTATTGAAAGCACAGTTTGGGTTCAGTATGTACAGGGAAACTTGGTTTCATCTATTACAGGTTGTAGAGCATTCAGCAAAGCTTAGAATTATTTTGTGTCTTTAGATAAGATTTTCAGAGTTTTTAGTGTTTCAGTAGACTTGTCATAAAGACTTAGTGAAATCAACTGGAAATAGTAAATAAAAACTCTTGTAACGTAAATGGAATGTTGAGATAATAGTATCTCTAAGATCCAGGATAGATCTTGGGATCTCTTCTAATAATGTTACGTGAATTTGCCACTTGGCATCTTTCTGTTCACTGTGCAGTTGAGATATCTTTAGTTTTTCTCTTTGAGACCCTTCTTTACTGAACGGTTCTTTTTGTAAAAGATGGGGGAAAAATAGAATTTGGAACCCTGATCTTTCCCAGGGGCTACTAGAAGGATGAAGTACATACATTTTTATCTTTTCCTAACGAACACCACCGGGATGTAGTGTGATAAAAAATAGGATAACACAGAAGATACAAACCTGGGGAGGAGGAATTTGATCCAGATTTCCATCTTTGTTATAAGTAGCCTTGTCTTTGTAGAAGTAAACTATAATTTCATACTTTGGTTGCTGTACTTTGATTTATATAGGTAAAAATAAATGCCCTCAGAAAAATGTAGACAAACATGTACATATATATGTATTAGTATAAAATATATATATTATAGGTTTACTGTGCATGTGTGTATGTATTTTTAGTATAGTTTGATAGGGGAGCCAGATACCACAAGTAACAAAACTTTCTCAGACACTGAAAAAAATCTTAAGTAAATGTTTTTTTTCATGTATATGACAAGGCGAAACAAAAAAAACCACAAAGACATAGAATAGAAGGTAAACTGTTTATATTTTATATACGCTACATATTTTATGTATTGCATATTTATGTGTTACATCTTTTGTAATTTTAGGATTTTTAACAATTAATTCTTTCTTCCAGTTACTGCAGCCAGGTACTTAGTAAAGAAGTTAATAGCTGTGTGACTGATCTCTTAAAAGAACTGGTTCGTTTCCAAGATCGGTTGTATCAGAAAGACCCAGTAAAGGCCAAGATAAAACGCAGGCTTGTTATGGGTCTTCGAGAAGTTTTGAAACATCTGAAGCTGAAAAAACTGAAGTGTGTCATCATCTCTCCTGACTGTGAAAAGATTCAGTCAAAGGGTAAATAAGTGGGGGGGGGGGAAGGGGAGGGAGTTTGTTTAATAAAAGAAATGTAAAAAAGGTAGACTCAGTATACTGGCAGCAGTATTATTACTGGAATAACTTATTTGAGTAGCCTTTAAAATCTAGTCGTATAAAGAAGATGCTTTCCTTCTTTGGATCATTTACTGCTGCACAGCTGGCGTGCAAGCTCAGTAAAGACTATGGGGCAGGGGAGGAGAGGGGCGGGAAGTTATCTGAAGCCAGGATCTCTTTAGTTACCGATTTGCAGTACAGTTGCACAAAAGATTGTACTGGCATAGCTCAGAAGAGATAAAGGTTACTAATGCCAGCTGTCCCAGCACAAGAAGTCCGGCTGTATCAGTCTCTTTTAGGCCACAGATTGACAATAAGTTGTCAATGATAGTTTGTTTAAAATTTGTAATTTTTGTCATTACTTTGTATTGACTTTTAAATAATTGGTTAGCAGCTGGGTCTTTTTTTTTAATACTAGATTAGACTATAGTACACATATAACAAAATACAGAATAGTAGCAGTCTAAGGATACTGCCAATTAAGAATTAAGAAAAAAAAGTCCAATTCTCCTTTAAAAATGGAGACCTAACGCCATATTGAGATCCATGTATTTTTTCTTATAAGCTCTTGTAATTTCAAAGTGCAACTGTAACCTTAGGGTATTTTTTGCCATCTTTTAACTGTACTGTCCTTTAGTTATAATCAACTTGTATACTGTCATTCTTTGCTAATCCTACTGTCTGCTCCAGGTGGGTTGGATGAGACTCTCCATAATATTATTGACTGCGCCTGTGAACAGAATATCCCGTTTGTTTTTGCCCTTAATCGCAAGACCCTAGGCCGCTGTGTGAACAAAGCAGTGCCTGTGAGTGTGGTGGGAATTTTTAGCTATGATGGGGCTCAGGTAAGCTGAAATGTGTAGGTTCATGTTTTGTTTACTTTCTACATGTAAGGGGAAAAATATTCTGACTTTAAGGTCTTGTTTGTTTGTTTTGCTTTTGCACACTTCTACTCTTTATCCCAGGTCAGTGGCTTATATGAGAAATTGATTTTAGAAGTACAGCCACGCAGCATTGTTCAAAAAAGTAGTCTGGACATCTCTTCCTGACATTCTGTCCATTGAGATCTCTATACAAAACTTCTTTTTCAACAGAAATGGTGTTTTTATAAATGTTTATAAATGGTTTGTTTTTCATGTCTTTATACCTACTTAGCTGCTCTGCAGTTGTAGCATTTATGTAGCCAATGGATGCTTATAAACAATCATCTAGTAGGGGAAAAGCTAAGGCCAAAGGTGAGCATGGAAGATAATTTTAAAGATTGCCTTGTGGTTAGCTGAATACCTGTTTGAAAGAATCTCTAGGATAACAAGCTTGCCTTGAAAATGGATGTAATATATAGAACACTGTTTTAAGCTTTGCAGTGGTTAGTCGTGTGAACAGAGCTGTATTAGTTGGTTGAGGAAAAAAAATTCGTTCCTGATTTGCATCAAAATATCCCTAGGCACGTTTTCCTTTCAGTTCTTACTTACTATAAACCCAGCTATTCTGGGTTTCAACTTTTATATATGAACACACATGTTCTGAATAAGGAATATTCATTACAGTTTTTCATGGAGATGTTGAAACTTGTATGATTTAAGATTACTAATATTTTTTATTTCCGTAGGACCATTTTCATAGAATGGTACAACTGACAACAGAGGCCAGGAAGGCCTACAAAGATATGATAGCAGCTTTAGAGAAGGAAGCTGAAGGAGGACTGAAAGAAACCCAACCCAGCGTCTTAACCACTGAATATGAAAACAATGGCTTATCAGAAACTGGTAAAACATCTTCCAGGGACTCTGAGGATGTACCAAATTATAGTGAGTGTTTACTGACTTGGTTTTGGTTCAGTTTTCATTCAAAGTGCTCTTTAATTCTATCATTTTCAATGAAACAAATTACACCTGACACTTTAGTGGTTCATAAGGGGATAAATTCTGCTTTTCTGTGATTTCTGCCACCCCCCCAATGTTACAAACTTGAGGTCAGCTCTTGCCGAGAAAGTCTTAGAGAAAATTCCTCTCTAAAATCCAGTGCTTGCAGGTGGTACTAATTTCTTTGTCCAAGGAGGTTTATTTCTGTATTATTTCTTATTGTTAAAAAATCCTTAAAGTTTTTTTCCTAGACATACATACTCTATAATTATGGTGGACTTAAATTTTGTATTGAAGCCTGTTTGAGATGCATGTTCCTGTCCAAAAGTGTTCACGTTTTGAAAAGGCTTTCCACTTCTAGAAACATATTCCTGCAGCTCTACTCATACAGCCAGCAGACAGTGACAGTTATCACAGATACTAGGCAACTTAAAACTTCTTTGAAAGTTTTGAAGACTCTTGAGGTTTTTGAAGTTGGATCGACCTCCACAGTTAGCCTTATGAGAGTAGGGGGCTGGACACAAGGACGTCAGTGAATCCATGTGCCAACTTATCTCAGTACTTACTTTGAGGATGTGGTAGAGAATTAGTGTGACTTCTCATTTTAAGTTTTTCATGAAGTATTATACAGTAACCTATTTTTGTTTTTGTTCTAATATTCCCTAGTTAAAATCTGGAAGAGAAAACTTGAAGAAGAGTATAACCAGTATGCACTGGAACTGGAAAAGAGTGCCACTGCTGACGTGGTGATAGTGAATTCAGAAGAGCATCAGTAAATCCAGATCCAATTCTATTGGGCTTTTAGTTTTTTTCTTCTAGACCCCAAGGAAGAGGATAGTAAAGTAAATTAATTAAAGAAATACCTGAAGTCAGCTAAATAAAGTGTTCTGAATCCCTTTAAGCAAAATACACAGTGGAGCACACGAGGTGTGGTCTAATGCTTTTATGTTCTATGTATTTGGCTGATTACTGTAGCATATGACAACAGCAAATTGTGTTAGCCCTGAACCACTTGAACTGGCTTGGCATACTTTAATGTTTTTATGGACTAGCATTGATCTGTTAGTTTTGGTATATTGTTATATCAAAAGAACTTGCTAGAAACTTAATTTTATTTGGGAAGAGATTCCATGAGCCAGAAGGTTGTGGTTTGCAGGGGATTGCTTTTAACTCTTGCTTAAATAATGTCAACTGGTTTTTGATTTTGGGTTGGTTCAATGGTTTTTCTTCTAAATAAACCTGCTCAGGTGGTCAGTCTGGCATCAGTGTCAGCAAGAAATTAATTCTGGGCAGGCAGCTTAATTGAAACTAATTAAGGAAGGCCATGATGACAAAGTTCCCAGTTAGCTCCTCTGTGTGATATTTTGTTCTTCTGGAATCATACAGCAGGTGTAAAGGAGAGAGCGTGGACTACAAAGGTCTGAAATTCCTGAAGTGAAAGTGCTCTTGTTTAGAAATTTTATAAAGTTGACTAAGTGTACAGTGATGATGTTTCTGCTGCTACTGAGACTAGTTTATCATAGGTCCTGCTTTGAAGTTAGAGGATATTGAAGAAGAGCAAATGTGTGAGCCTGCTGTCCTATCTGTACCTTTTCCATGCCAACAGACTCCTTATTCCTTCAGTTTGGGGTTGTGTCAGTCTGTGTATATATATATGTATATATGTGTGTGTGTATATATATATATATATGAGTTTTTAATCAATCTCAGTTTGTATCTAAGGTAGGGAAAATTTATATCTTATGGGAAATAAAATTTAAAAACCAAATGTGCTCATAATGGTGGTGGAGCACCTTAGTGGGAATGTCCTATATAAATATTGTTGTTTACAAGTTGCAGACATAAGAGGACAAGCCTAAAGAAGGTAATTGGAGGATGCACATGTAAATTCTGTTAGCTGTTCTGAAAGATAATATAGATGCCGTGTGCTGCTGCCAGCATCTCTGAAGTGTGCAAGTGCTTCACCGCATTGAACACTGGTAGTGCAATACTTTGGAAAGTAGCTGCCTTGTGAATTTAGAAGTGATATAAAAACTTCAAATAATTTTGAAATCCAAACAATTTTGTAGAATGTAAATTGTATAAAATCTGGTACAATATATTGATTCTATAAAGTATTGTTGTAACTTAAGTAAACTCTTCTGGTGGGCACTTAATGACACTTGAAATGTCAGTTTTGAGAGAGGGTTGGTAAGGGAAGCCAGCCTTAAGCTGAAATGCAGAGTTGGTCACTAGTTATGATGATGATTTTTTATATTAGTTTCTTCTAATCTTAAAATGGAAATTGAGGGTGAAAGATCCCAGTGTTTAAAGATGGTTTTGACCAACAGATATCCTTGATCCAGAGGTAAGTTATGATTTATTCATACTTGTGCCACTTTGATGCACATCTAAAACTCTGAAACTCCTAAACCTAGTCACTGCAGTTGGTGAAGATCACTTTAACAGCTTGTGGTTCTTTGGGGCATATTTTCTGTTTTGTCTTACTGGAGAAGAGCATGAAAAGTTACTTTGGAAACATTATAGGTTGTTCAAAATCTTTGGGAGTTATTTCTTAAAATGTAGCAGAAAAATTCACTATAAAGGGTCGTGGCCGTTTTCACCAATTCTGTTACAGAGATGTCTTCTCAGAAAGTTGAGCTAAACAAAAAATCGAGCAACTTTCTGTACTACTTCACATGTAGTACTTCACGGCAGAGTCAAGGCAAAGCTCAGCTGTGCTCATCTAAAAGTCTTTACCTCACATCTTACAAAGCCTTACTTACCTTCCCACTGAGCACCACAGAACTAAATGTAAGTCTGCTCCAAATCTATGGAACAAAGAGAGGAGGGACAATTCAAGAAAGGGCTTTTTATAGTTGTCCCTTAGCCATAAAATATGTCATAAGAGAAACAATGGGGAAAAAGTTCCCTCTGAACATTGGTGTCAGAATTCTGCATCAGCATTGATTTACGATTGCCAAGGTGAAAAACAGGGAAAATGGTTTGTGTGTAAGAATTTTTACCATGCATGTGTGACCACAAGGTGGGGTGGGTGGGGAGGGTCATTCAGGAAGGTCTTAGAGTAAGGAGAATGCTTTCTTCAGTGTGGGAAATAATCTAATTTAAATCTTAACAGTTAGGGGATAACTTAGTGATAAGTACAAAACTTTTTGCTGTTACTAGGAGCAGCTCTCCTCTTGGACTCTAGATATAGTGATTCTTAATGGCATCTTTCTTGCTTCCAGATTGTTGAAAACTGTTGAGAAGACAAGACAGAAAACTTGAATTATGCCTCCAACTTTTGTTTATTAGATGCAGAAGGACAAAACTCTGAACAGCAATGCAGTAAAACAATTTCACTGTGGATTAAGTAGGTCCTCGCATTTTCAATCTGCATTTGTTCACTACAAATATGTGAACTTTATGGAATTGTAGGCTTAGAATTCAGTCAACACAGTGTTTTAAAGCTACCACAGCTACCTCAAATAGAGAAGTGTAAGGGTAAACACCTTAAAAGAAAATGGGCCCGTTGAAGTGCCTTTAAATAAATGTGATCCACGTATTATTAATCTCTAAATCATATGCCAAGATCCTCAAGCCCCAAGTTAACTTGTAAGAACTCAAAACAGAAGCCATGCATCATATTATATTGTTTGAGCAGCACAAGTCTTAATGAGACCACTTTTATTCTTCATTAAGCTGAAATAACTGCCATCAGAAAACCAGACACACTTCCAGCCTGGGATGCGTGGCCTCTTTTGTAGCACATAACTTAGTTATTCTTTGGTGTAGCAAGTATATCCTCTTCCACCTCAAGCTTTGGGAGATGCTCCTGTATATTAATGTATATTAATGCCAGCAGTAGCACTTGCAAATACTTCTTTGAATGCTGTGATACCAAGGGTACTGGGTACTCTTAACTTGCATACATTTAACCTCCTAGCCTGTTTCCTTTGTCCATCAGAAGCTGTTTTTCTTGTTGCAGCTCTCCTGAAGAAGAAAGTTCAGAATGATGTGTTAATATTACTTTAAAAATTAAAATGGGGTTTAAAGGTCACCTCTACTCTACTGTTCCACAGGCAGCAAGCATATGTCATATCCAAAAGCTATCCAAAGTAATCTCGGTTCTAACTGTTGAAGAAGAACCTTTAAAGCTAAGTATGGACTATTTTTTTTTTTTAAAGGAAGGCCAGCTTTGATGAACAGTACCATTTATGAAGTCCAGTAGTCTCTGTAATCCAGTTAGTCTACAGCTGTGATGAAATTAATGTATAATTTCTAATCTATAGTCAGTAATACAGTATTCAGTATACACAGACTTACTCTTTTGGGCAGGATGGGAACTACTGCTTGATAGCACTTGGTTAGTGGACTGAAGGAGCAAGCTGACATAACTGTAGTACATGTCATAGATTGAGCAGATTTCACTGCTGGAAGTCAAGAATGATGATCTGTACAGGAACACTGATCCCTGTGTTGTATAAATACACTAGGTTGCAAAAGTGTCACACACTAGTTTTAGGATTGGGACTGTAGTCATGTAGAAAGCACTGTAGAAAATCTCTTTTTCCAAAAATTCTTACCCATGTTTTCCTCCAGTTTTGCATCATCTTGTCATGTTCGCTGATGGCACTTCTCCAGGTATCAAATTCCTTGGTCCATCCATCCTGACCAGCACTATCTGAGAATGTACATGGGATGATTACATAACTACATGATGATAAAGTACGTTGATACCTATTCAGTTGCAGTTCTTTCCTGTGGAAGACTGGAACAAAAGCCACCATCTTGTCCTTCATTTTGTTCTGCCTCCTCTCCTGTTATCTGGAAATAAGTTCTGTTCAAATGGTTATGTCTCTTCCCATCTGCAGCAAACTTTATAGCCTCCAGAGTAAACAGATTCAGTGCCGTTATTGGTGATTTGAGGTCTAGAAAACATGACCTCAGTTCAGAGTTCAAACCCATCTAAGAAGCACAAGAATGCTCCACTTAGATCATACCAAGCCTGGGGAGAAGAATGGTATGATACAGCTGACTGTGTCCAGTTTGTAATTTCCCCTTTGTTCAGTAATGTTATGTAGTTGTTCTTCATTCCATTGAGAACTTAAGAGGGCTACTTCACTGCATCTTGATAAAGTTCTAGGTCTAATTCTGTCTGCCAGGCTTTCTTGCAGAATGTAACACTGTGGTCGTGTAATATTTTCTGTTTATCCTTGGGGACACTAGCAACATGATATAATTCTTCTGCAGCACCGTGAAAACTTCCCTCTGTTTTACATTTACAGTAGTTTAATTGAGAAGCTCTTCATTCTGCTTCTGAGACAGACTTCAGAGTAACTGGAGTGATAGCAAGACAGCTTCTTTAAATCCTACTGCTTTTCTCTGTCACTGAAAAAAGAAGAGCTGTTCTTGGCAAATTCATGTTTGTTATTAACCAGCTAATTAAAAATAGTTCACTTTTTCTTTCACCCTGACAAGAAAATACATACATCTTTCATTGCTCCTGCTATCTCTTTAAAGGCTATTCAGACCTTCTCCATAAGTTTTCAAAAGCAAATGAGGCTTAAGTTGCATTGGTCAGTTAGCTAACTGACCCCCTGTCCAAATGAAGAGGTGGGAACTAACCTCACCCAACCACTGGTGGTTTACAAATCTTCTGATTTTTAAAAATCCTGTGCGGTGGGGTTTCTCTTTACCATCTGACTTCCTTGCAATTGGAATTTTTTTCTACATTACACTGTAGATTTCTTTCAGGGTACTGGTTTTTAACTCTTTAGTACTCATCTGACTTCCA